AAGTTTTTTAATCACCGCCACCCCAGGCCACTGGAGGGCACGATATCTGACGTGCCGCGCGTGGAGAATTGTAATTGCATTTCAAAATCGTGCCACCGTCGGCCGGCAACGCGTGGAGAACTTTTTGCCTGACTTTGGGAACAACCGTGGAAAATAGCCCCGTCGCAACGCGCGGCGAGTCGACGAGAGAATTAAATTCCACCGTGGAAATTCAGTGGGAGCCGATGCCAATGAAACTTCAATTCCCGAATGACACCCCTGTGTACGATCCAACGATAGTCCAAATATCCAAATGTCGGCCGGTTAAAGATCAAAATTTCCAAGTTCCCCCCTTCCCTTCCCTCTCCTCCCTATATTTCTCCCTCGCCAATTTCCACGCTCGCGAGTTCGCACGTGATCGGCGTTAATAATCGCAAATATCGTTAACGAAGGAACCGGTTTGCGCGTTGGAAACCGACGAGCTGGTGGAACTAACGGAGCGCCCTCAGACACGCGTCCTCTGTTCGATGCTACCGGTCGAAGCCCTCGAATCCTCGGTGAAATGTCGAGCCATCGGGAACTACTTTTGTACGTTCGGTAATTAAATGTAAAGCGATTATCGTTCGTTAACCGGGCGAGAGTTCACACGTTGGAAGTTCTTCGAGGGAATTAAACGATCCCCGTCCGACTTCCGACTTGGCCCGATGAATTTTCATCCGCCGCCGCCGCCCCGGGAAGCGAAAGAGGCTTTAATTCCGTTCTGTTAATTTGTAATGTTAATCGAGCCTCGCGCGTCTCACTGATACACGGAGACGTTTCCTCAGATGCGAGAGCCGAGGAAATTTCTCCGTGTTTCTTTCAATCTCTATCTATCTTGTCCCGCGTCCACCTTTATGTCCTCCCGTGGAAATTGTTTTACGAGAAACGTGCACGACGGTTTACCACCGGTCTAAAGGAACGGTCCTGCTTTGCAGTCTCTTGACGCTGAATCTGGCGGTGATATTTCATCCGAGTAGCTCGAGAGCCCCGAATTCGGAGCTCGCCGAGGTTCTTCATCGACCGATCCGGTCGCTCACATTCCCGGAAGAAAGTGCCACAGGTGTGAGTGTCTCTAAGAGAAACCATAGACAATAACGGACTGCCGCTTTCTAGCGGAGAATGAATCCAGTTGAAAGTGACGAAACATATTCTTTTCGAAGCTGTTCCTCGCGCTGGCGATACCGTTGGAGGATCCCTACAAATCGATCTCCATAGCTGATTTCTTCGAGGCAACTTACACGCTGCCGACGAATGCCAGTGGTGAATATCTCTGGCTGGTGAACGAGCAACGAAGAAGGAGAAGGAGCTTGGACAGAGCCACGCTTTATCAAGTCGTGGAGAACAAATTCGTCAAGTGAGTTGAAGATTTGCTTGAATTTCATCCTCCGAATGATTCTTTTAGAATTTAATCGAAGTAAAATCAATTTTCCAATCTGAGAGGATTATCGATAATTAGTTTGAAGTTTCACATAAAAATGTAAGAAATACTTCATAAAATATAAAAGAAAAATGCGATTAGGGTTAGAATGTTTAAATTTCGATCACTGGGAGATTCTCTGACATTTATCCGTAATAAAATCTATTATATCAATTTGTAATCTAAAAGAATTGATATAGTTACTCTGAAAGCTTAGCAACGAAGCGTTGTAATCGATGTTTTATAAAGGTTCGTACAAACAAAGTAAAAAAGTCATGTGGAAGTTATTGAAAAAAGTATTCCTGTATTTCGTCGCATCGGTTTTAAAGGGGAAAAAAGATTGGGAAAAAATTCCACAAAATTCCAGTCGCGTTTACAAAAATGAAACTTTTTTATTTGTGAAACTATAAAAGTAATACTTTCAAATTGTGGATTAATGCAACAGTCACATAAAAGTATGAATTTCTTTTTTTTTTTTTT